GTCAATCAAATGTTCGGCGGCTCCTCCCAGCTTCCGACTACTGCTGAGCGCGAGGTAATCAAATCGCTGAGCACAGTTCAGACAACGAAACAGTGCTCGGCAGTAGTCGGAAGCTGGGAGGAGCCACCAACATTTGATTGGCGGTAGCGAAAAACGCATTTGTCGGTTGAACTTTGAATTTTAGAGTCCGCATGTTACTGAAAGGCGCAGTAATGTTCACAACGCCTAAAAGTTTCTTACGTCATAATCTCTGCATTTTTTTTTTGTTCTTGCCGATTCAAGAAATTTTCTGTATTGATGAATAAAATCATTACTCTTAATGTGAGTGTCATGTTGTTTTTCTGCAGTGTCTTGGACACTTATCAGCTCTAACTGTGTTCAAAGCGGGAATTCACATCAAGACTCGCAACTTACCACCTGCTATAAAGAATCTTCTAGAAGAGTAAGTACACGTTGTTGGTGTGGTAGAGCAGTTTTCAATTGAGTGTCGTAGAACCAAAACCAAAGTAATCACTCCAGCCGATCACCAAGGACACCGGCAATACAGTGAACCAATCAAAACTCGAAGTAATTACATGCAGCTGACGCAAAGCGCGGGAAAACGTGTGCGCGCGAGTTGTGATTGGTTTTGGTTTTACTTCTGAGTAGATGAAAAAGTGGCGTGAATTTTTTAAGCCAATCGTGTAGCGTAGTTGATGTAAAACCAATTACTTTTCGGCACTCAAATGAAAACCGCTCTATAAATATAAATTAGCTTGGGAGGCCAGTTTTTGTGAAGGCTGTCTCGTTTATCCGAAAGTTTGGCAGATTGCGGTGAGTTTGGAAATCCCGGAAAATGTTTAACTCTTGTCAAGAATAAAATTAAGGAAATCAAGAAAGCAAGGAATTTCGAAAGGAAAAGGAGATTTGATGGAATAGCGTGAAACATTGATAAACTCTCCGACTACTTTCTCTTCTGTCATGCGTTTTGAAATTTGTCGGCCCACAAAGGAATCGTTTGCATCCTCGCCATTGTTAGTTATCCTCAGTTCCCAATAGCTTCCTTTCATTTGTATAACACTGTCCAACAAATTCAAACTGTTAACTGTCGTGTCCACAGGTCACCCAAGCGTAATATAAGAGTTTATGTGGTGAATTGTGGCTGAAATATAAGAGTTTGTATGGAGATTAGAAGATGACATTGAAATCAATCAATGTATGGGTACTTTACCGAATAAAGACTCTTATAACACCGTAGGATAAATAAATCAAAATTCGCTCAAATCTCGTTTTAACTCTCCAGAATGAGAAAAAATGACACCATTGAATGTTCAAGAGTCTTTATTCGGTAAATTACCCATATATTGATTGACTTCAATGTCATCTTCTAATCTCCATACAAACTCTTATATTTCAGCCACAGTTCACCATACAAACTCTCATATTACGCTTGGGTGACCTGTGGTCGTGTCAAGCCCTGGCCAAACGGACTCACAAGTAGTTGCAAGTAGCCGCAAGTTGAACTTGCGTTAGGTGGCTAAACGGACCCGCAAGTTTCCTCGCAAGTACGCGCAAGACTTAAAACAACATTTTAATGCAGACATATCCTGTATTTCATTGGCTAATAGGCTATCATAACAAAGACTGAACGTCACTCAACTTGCGTTGACTTGGGTTGGGTAGCCAAACGGTGAAAAAACTTGCGTCAACCTACGTGCAAATTAAAAACTTGACGTTCGTTTTTCATGCGTCTGTCCTGGTATTGATCATGAATTTCGTCATAACAATGTCAAAGTAGCTGTGGATCCGCAGACTACCTTTGGCAATGTTATGACGAAATTCATTGTCAATAACAGGACGGACGCATGAAAAACGGACGTCAATTTGTTTTTTACGATAACAAATTGTCAAATTGTCCGCTTTCGCTCTGGACACATCGCATAAATTATAAATTCATGTGTCTGTCCGCTTATTGACAATGAAAATTAGCCAATGAGCGCGCGAGAATCTCTGCAGTTATCGTAAAATTTGATCTCGACCAAAGTGAGCGTAAGTCATCGCAAGTGTACGCAAGTACACGCAAGGAATAGCCAAACGGAGTCGCAAGTAGACCCAAGTTTTCAACTCGCGTCTACTTGCGAGTCCTTTTTGGCTAGGGCTTTAAACGTGTCCATCTAACCTGTCACCATTTCTTTCTGTCTAGTTACAGTCGCTGTGATTGCTGTGATGGTCCGATGTTTGGTCCAGGAGTAAGAGTAATCAAGGCTCCGTTTGTCATCTTCGGCGTCAAGAATCTTCCATTCGTTTTTAGCGCCTGTACACAAACCTGCAGAAGACAGTTCAGCAGAAACCCTGATTCATTGAAGCTTTGGATGCAGAGGAACGCACCACAGACTTTAGCTGAGTTCTAGCTTTGGAACGCAATAGAATAAATGGAATTAAAAGGATGACACTCGGACAGGGTAGCGAGGCTAACACGAAGTGTTATTCCCTGAACCGGATCAACTGAATTGGAATTTAGAATTAATGGCCTTTTGGAAGGAGGCAAATCTGGAAGAAGCGACTTTTAGTCGAAGTGAAGATGAAGATTTGAAAAACAATGTAACTCATAGATATTAACCCGAAATGGTCACCGAACAAAATGAAAGTACTCTGTACGTAGACGGAGTCTTTGCTATCTTTACCAGTATATAAAAAGTGTATTTTTGTAAAAATCTATATTTCAAAGTAATGTGCAAGTGCAATAAATTGTTCTGTTCATGCAAGTTCTACCCCATGTGTATTTGCTTGATCTTCTACTCAGAGCCCTCGGTCTTTTTGGTCAGTGGAGGCTGGGTACTCTGTGTAGAAGATAACAAAATAACATTAGAAAACTGAGACGAGCAGAGGATCTGGGGAAGACTCTATTTCGAAAACATTACTTTTAAAACATGTGGAGTAGAAGGAAGTACAGTATCCTGCTAGCAGAGGTTTCTTTCTGGCAAGTCTTTTAGCATGTACGAAGTCGTTCGCGTCTCTTGTATTTCGCGTAGTCGGCTTGTTTACTTTCCCGAGAGAAACCTCTCACCTGACGATGTTTGCCCGCCTTCTTTTTTACGCGGGAAGAAATTACGAAGGTATATTCACCATTCAAAACAGAATATAACGCTTTCGACTGATAAGGAGTTAGACTCGATCGTACGATTCTCAAGAGCTTTTAAAGCCTTCTGGACTACTTCGTAGAAACATAAACGAGAAAGACCTTTTGCAGCCATCTTTCGACTTCACGCAGGCTCATTTTTGCACAGCAAATCAGTAAAAAATAGATGCACATGAGTTGACAAACTCGTTTAAACCAGTTTTACCCTGTTTGTCACGTGATCTACCTCTAAGAATGTGGAGGTATCTAAAGCGCATGCTCAACGGGAAATCACGATAAGCGGCTCGTGGCAGAGGTTTCTCTCGGGGAAGTAAACAAGCCGACTACGCGAAATACTAGAGACGCGAACGACTTCGTACATGTTAAAAGACTTGCCAGAAAGAAACCTCTGCTAGCTGGCTAGAGGTACAGTTGAACCCCGCTATTGCAGACTCTCAGGGGAAACGAAAAATAGTTCTAATACTAACCGACTGACGGGCAAATCCAAGGGAAATGGTTTTGAATTCGAAATAAAACGGGGGAAATAACCGGGTTCGAATTACCGGGGTACAACTAATTATATCAAAGCTCCCATAATCTACACGCTAACCTCTTCAGAGAATAACGTGTACGTTATCAAGTTTTATTGCCTAAAAGTAGTGTAAAGGCCCCTAAACTATCTCGGGGGCGTTAGCTATACGTTCCCCTGGGCTCAAGGAACTGGCAATTACACGATCTTCCGTGCTTGTCGCTGGTATATGTTACACTTGAAAACTTGAAAACGTCACTCTGAACAAGCAGAAAACAAAGTCAACGATAGTACACCGTATATGAAAAAAATAATTTATTTGACGCAACTACGTCGTGCGTTGTCACTTTTTACAGCTCTTTAAATAAATATAACTATGTACAAGTCTTAATGGGACACGAAAATGCCTGAACTAGCAATCTAATAGTCGTCAACTAGTGGGGAGAAATACACGAAAGTTCTAGCGCCGACGTTGGAGAACTGGTACTTAGTTCACGATCACTGTTTTCTCCTGCTGACTGCTGGGAGATGATGCTTGTAGTCGAGCCTTCTTCCCGGCATTCTTTGCTCTCTGCAGGTGAAGCGGCAGAGGAATCTTGTCAAGTCGAGGGTAGTTAGGGAGGCGCATAGCATTCTGGGCACGATCTAAAACAATACTAAAGAAAATAAAAAGTGCGTTAGAGATTTTCATTAATAAAAGTCACGTTGTGTGTGAACAAAATAAGAAGACCGAGTGTGTTTGTTCTTCTTATTCTTTAGTTTGAACTTATTATGTTTATGTCTGTGCATCAGCTTTTGTCACTAGAAAAACCAGCCTATTACACGGCAATAGTCGTGTAACATCGGCAACACAGTCCTTCAAGCTGGTTTTCAGTCGAAGTCCCATATAAGGACAGCAAGCTAGATCAACCTCGTTCCTGGGAGGGAAAATGAGAGACCCTGGGAACTACGCCGCAAACTAGATACGACAACTGTTCTAGCAAAGATTTTGCCCATTGCTCGGTATACTACAACACGTTATGTTTAATTTAACTTTCTCGCAGTGGTTCTTGTTAATTGTCTGGTTTTTCGACACAAGTGACAAGCCCCATACTGCGACAATTGGCTCGACGATTACTTTAGGGCTTACTTTACAAACTGCTTCACTTCAGCAAGGTGCATCTCATGACTGTCTATACCGCTGGGTGGCTTTGCTTTCATGACAGCCTGAAAAAAAAAAACGAAAAAAAACCAAATAAATCCATTGTGACAAGATTACAACTCACACCTTAGTCGCTGCCATCATAGTTAGTAGAGGAGACTGGTTAGAAACTCGGCGAACTTCAAAGGACCAAAACAATAGCGGCGCTCTGATGTTGAACTGACCCGTCACGTGACACTGACCCTGCACACTCAAAACACGATGGCGGACACTACGAACGATCTCTACCTCTTCGGGGAAGATTTCGAAGCCATTTTGGATATCCTAGTCGTAGTCTCCTCTACTAACTATGCTGCCATAGCAAGCACAGTTGACGCCTTAAAGGAGCTTAGTGACGGTATTTGGAGTTATTTTATTACCTTTTAATTGAAGGAAACCTGAAACTAATAGTTTTCTAAGATAGAAAAACACTAAAGAGAAAATAATAATAATAATATTCCCAATACTCCTCTGACACGTTTGACGAAATCCCAACTGACAAACCTAATATTCGGGCTCGCTTAGCCTGCGTAGCAAGCGTTTCTGTGGAGTTCGGGAGCAAAGAATTACAGCGCGAAAAATGGCGAAAATCCCGTTCCTCGGTGTTTCTTTGCTCCCAAACCCCACGGAAACGCTTGCTACGCAAGCTAGGGCTCGCTAAACTTCGTTTCATTAAAAGGTGAGGCTTAAAAACAACCGAGGTCAATTAATGAACAAAATCCGAGGCCTGCTGGCTATCTATACCAGGCAACATAGGAATCCTGATATATTTTCTTAATATCCCGTTGTATCTACTATCTTGACGTGCGAGAAGACACCTCCAATTCAGTGCACAATTTTCAACATTTCAAATGAATCCATACCTTAAGTTTTGCTCCAACATTGAACCGGGCCGTATGTTTGCCGTGATTAAAAGTGAGAACAGTTTTATTCTGAAATAACAAAAACAGGGAATAGTTAGTACTGTGTAAATGGAAAGACGCCACACATTAGCTCCAAAATTAGCTTAAATTGTCGAAAACTTTGAAGGTAGGGAGAAGATTTTCGCGATTCCACCACTTTACAAACCTAAACGAGGGTAAACATTGCTTAGAATGACGTTTCAACAGAGTTTTATACCTCAAATTTCACAGAAAAATACTTTATGTATCGAAAGTATGGTCCTCGTAAGAAAACATTTAAAGTCACGACTTACCTGAGACAAACATCTGATTGACAGCTGTTTGGTAATCATGAACGTGATTGGTTGAAAGGGCGGAGCGTGCACGTGCTCTTTCAAATTATGCCAGAGCCACTTCTTTTTCTTAGCGCCGTTTTTATCCAGAAGAACTCCGAAAAATGGATTTAAAACGAGTCTAACGAAGAAGAGAAAGAGAGAGAAACAACATTCAGAGAGAAGCATGTTAGTTAAAGATAAGAGATGGAACAAAAATCCATTCGCCATTGCCACATCCCCCATAATACACATTGTTTGCCCTCCAAAATTCTGCATAACCTTTGTTTCCCATTTCTCCTGGATATCACAGTCGTCCCAAGAGAAACTGAAGACAATGCTTATGCAAACTTTT